TATTGTGCCATGTTTTGCACGAAAACCGAATTGATGCATTGGTATTGTATTATTTTCATGGAGGAAGGAGTAGTACTTTTTCAAATACTTTTGAAAGATAGGTTAGAAGACTGATTGGTTGGTCTGTATGAAGACGGCTGTGTTAAGTCTTTCCCAGGTTTATCTATCAAGATAATCTACGACTTTTTCCATGAAATTGGAAAATATCCGGAACTAAGAGTTGCATTGAAGAGCAAAGAGAGCACCTCTACAGCAATAATTGGTAACTTAATTAGTATTTTTGGGGAAATATTAACATGACCCGGCGACTTTTTTGTATTAAGTAAGTCTTAAGAGACTCGAGCGACTCTTTAGCTTTTTTGGGTAAGATTGGCAGCTTAAAGTTATTCTTTGGCAAATTGGGTAAGAAATACCTTTTCTAAGTGATTTGCAAAGCAATTAGCCTTTTCCTCGTCACTTCGACCCCAATTTCCACTAAAGTCTCGTATAGGTATGTTGGAATCAGTTGGTGGCTTCATGGACTTTTGGGCTCTCCAAAGGGAATTTTGCTTGTTTGAATTTGGACACAGCTTCTTTATATACATTTCGGTGTTCAATTCTTCCTCACATTTAAGCGCTTTTTTCAATTTACGTACAGCAGATTTTACTTGAAGCTGAGTCGAAAAGGAACGATTTATCTGCCATTCACGTCTTGCACACCTTTATTCATTTACAAGCACTTCTGTTTCTCTATTAGAGATTTTTCTGAAACCAAGCGGATTACAGCTTTTGTTTGGTGTTGCTAAGACAGCTGCGCTGGTTATTCTATCATTGACTTCTCTTATGCTTTCTTCAATATCTCTTCCTGTATTTATTTTGTACTCAATATTAACTACTACAATATTAGCTACTGAAGTATTTTTTATATTTTAGCCAATTCGTTTTATAAGAAGTTAGACCCACTTTTAGATTAACGAATATGGGTTGTTCACATAACTTTATTATGAAAGGAGAGTGATCAGATGATAGATCAGTACATCAGCTGTTATGTGCGATTTATCTATATTTTTGATTACAGCAAAATCAATTATTTTTTTTTTATTTTATTAAAGCTTACATAATAAACAAATTATTAAATAAACTAAAGTACGCAGCGCTAGCATCAAAGGCTTTCGGCTGAAAAAAAAATCAAAATCAATTAAATCTGGTATTTTCTTACGATCACTAGGCCAATATGTCGGCTTACCAGGAGATATTATTTCAAGTTTATTGCGCCTATTTATAACAGTTTGATACAGCTGCCGTCCTCTCGGGTTAATAAGACGTGAGCCCCAGTACGTGTGTTTTTCGTTGTAAAACAAAAAAGTCTTTAAATTCGATTTCTGTAATTTTAAAACGAGATGGACAGTATATAGCCGTAAGGTTTAAGTCACAAGCCCGATTTTTTAGTGATATTGCTGTAGCTTGTAACTGTGGTGTAGCATGAGATTCTAGAGCATAGTGGCTTAAGCGATTTCTAGTCAACACTGCCGTGCCGCCATTCGCTTTTCCATAGAGATGGTTTGTAACATATAGTCCAAATCCCGGTATATTGAAATTATTTTTAATTGTTAGATGAGTTTCTGAAATAAGCATAACATCTATATTCTCTTCAGGCAGAAATCTCTAATTTATGTTGGTTAACACTGTTAGCATTCCACTTGCATATATTTAGTCAGCTCGTTTTTTACTTAATAAATTTTGCAGCATTTGATTTTGTGCTTTTACTCGTATTAAATTTTGGATCATGTTTTGCATGGTAGACAAAAATTGTGTCATACACTGTGTAAGATTTATAATCATAGTTTATTTATATACGAAAACCAATTGAAATACTGAAATATTTGAAAAGAAAGTCATATTTGACTTATTTAATTGAGTGCTGCCATATCTCCAAGTATCTCGAAAGCATTGGCTATATATTGAGATATTTCATTAGATCATCCAGATCGGTGTTTCTCTAATTATTTTGAATTATACAAAGATATACGAGGTATGTTTACAAAATAACGGGAAATTTGAATTTCGCAGTTCTCGAGATTCCAATTGGCAATCTTTTTTTATACTCTCGCAAAAAAGTTGCAGGAGAGTATTATAGTTTCGTTCACATAACGGTTGTTTGTAAGTCCTAAAACTAAAAGGGTCAGATATAGGGTTATATATAGCAAAGTCATCAGGGTGACGAGTAGAGTTGAAATCCGGATGTCTGTCTGTCCGTCCGTCCGTCCGTGCAAGATATAACTTGAGTAAAAATTGAGATATCATGATGAAACTTGGCACACGTATTTCTTGGTTCCATAAAAAGGTTAAGTCGAAGATGGGCAAAATCGGTCCACTCCCACGCCCACAAAATGGCGGAAACCGAAAACCTATAAAGTGTCATAACTAAGCCATAAATAAAGATATTAAAATGAAATTTGGCGCAAAGGATCACATTAGGGAGGGGCATATTCGGACGTAATTTTTTTGGGAAAGTGGGCGTTGCCCCGCCCCTACTAACTTTTTTGTACATATCTCGAAAACTGCTATAGCTATGTCAACCAAACTGTATACAGTCGTTTCTTTTAGGCACTTCCATATACAGTTCTAAAATGGAAGAAATCGGATAATAACCACGCCCACCTCCCATACAAAGGTTAAGTTGAAAATCACTAAAAGTGCGTTAACSGACTAACAAAAAATGTCAGAAACACTAAATTTTTCGGAAGAAATGTCAGAAGGAAGCTGCATCCAGGCTTTTTTCAAAAATTTAAAATGGGCGTGGCGTCGCCCACTTATGGACCAAAAACCATATCTCCGGAAGTACTAGACCGATTTCAGTGAAATTCGGTATATGATATTTTCTTAACACCGTGATGACATGTACCAAATATGGATGAAATCGGTTAACAACCACGCCTGAAATTTCGATTATCACTTTATCATGCGAGAGTATAAAATGTTCGGTGACACCCGAACTTAGCCCTTCCTTACTTGTTAATATGTGCTTTTAATGTGTGGTTTTATAAGTTTAGCGATTTTTATTTACCAAATGAAATAGATCAAAAAAATTGTTCGTGAATTTTTGACAAAAAGAATACTGTAACAGGATATATGAAAATTACTGAAAAAGCTGAATCCTATTCCAATTTAAGAAGTGTTTCGACGATTGAAAGAGGTGCTGTAAACTACTGTTAGCAAACAAATCAATTTCAATTTCAAAATTATTAATTTACTCTTCAAAATTTATGTCGTCCCCCTTAAAGGAACCCCATTAGCCCTAATACACTTGATCTAACGTTTTTTCCAATCCTCGTTACGAGTTGTTAAGTCAAAAGCCTTCACTGCACATAGCGATTCACGTTGTCTCAAAACGGTCCCTTGAGTTTGCTGAATCTCCAAAAGGCAAACGGAGGTGAATACGGTGGTTGCGACACGATATTGGTTGCAAATTTGGCGAACAAGTCACGAAAAAGCAAAGCAATATGCGACAGCGCTTTATCGCGATGCAAAAGCCAAGTGTTGTCGGCACATAATTCCAACTTCTTTTTACAAATAGGGCAAAGAACGCATAACACTCAAATACTATTCCTTTTTGTCAGTTTGGCGGGTCGAAAGGAGTTCGAAGTGTATCACACCTTGATAACCGAAGAAAACTATGTTAACAACCTTGACTTTTGACCTACTTTGACATGGTTTTTTCGACTTCGGCTCACCTTTTCCACGATATTCGGCCGATAGATCATCTGTAAGCATTGATCAAAGATTCATCGCCAATAATAATACGTTTCATAACATATTGAGATTCGGAAAGCATTGCTTCACAGACGTTAACGCGATGCTGTTTTTCGGAAAACTTGAGCGATTTTAGAACTAATCCTGCTTTCACTCAAATGATCTTTCAAAATGGTTTTCACTGATCTTTTCATTATTCCAACTATGCCACTAACATCTCTAACTGATCATCAGTTGATGTTGATGGCCTTCCTGGACATGGATCGTCGTCAAGCCGTTCTCGACCCTCTTTGAATAATTTGTACCAATCAAAAACATTTGCTCGCGACAAACAATTATGACAGAAGACCTTTTGCAACATTTTGAGAATTTCGGTACCAGAAATTTGATTCCACACAACCACTTTGTGGAATAATTTCACTAATCGTAAAAATCGCCAAAATCACTTTATGTACTTCAGAAAGGCAATCGTATACTAAACATCACTTATTATTTTGATGTGACATTTGGCGATAATGTTAGTGATGCTTTACCAATTAAAAAAAAAATATTCCGTCGAATGGGTTTTTTGGTTTGAAAAGTCTTACTATTATTTGCCCATAATAGCAAGTGCATAATTATTATTAATGTTGACGATTGACCAAATAATTTCTTTCAAAAAACCCGTAATTTTTTTAATTCCTCGTGTATATGGAATTTGCAAAATATGTTTAAATAAATCCCGACCAAATCGGGTGATCTCCGCCACTGTATTTCAACCTATCTTATAAAACTAAACTCGCACGAGATGATGCTTGTTCTGCAAGAAGTGTCCTAATGTTGAGCAATTATTGAAAGCAATTTATAAGCTTGAATTAATAGCATTTTGTGAACGTGGCATTAGATCGATTCTATAAATCCGCAGTACAAACCTTTGGACGAAGTCAAGAAACATTACATACATTTTTACACAATTTATCGCTTGCAGAGTGAGACCGACGGACTTAGAGATAGCCACCAACAAGAGTCAAGAGAACAAAACTATTATACTCTATTGCAACCTGATGCTAGAGTATACAAATTAGGGATATATTTCGCACTCATCATCAAAATGCACATTTGGTCTTGTTTGACTTCGTTGAGCTTCGGCTTTCGTTAAATAAAAAATTCCTGACTTAAACAAGAATAACTGTAAGACCATAGACGGTTCTGACGCATTTTAATACCCTTAGATGGCAAATTTCAATTCCTCCCATTAAATAAAAATACATAAGCTGAATTTCTTTTTATAAAATATTCGTGTATTTCGGATGTCACTAACATCGTTTTTGAAGTCTTCGTAAATGCAAAGTGCGAACACATATGTCAAAAGCATTTAATTTTGGCGTATAATTACAGTGTCGGCAGGTTGTTGGACGCGGGCGTAGCGCTCAGCATCAATGCCGTCATCTGTGTGGGAGAGCGAAATAATTTAATTAACAGTTATACCAATTACAGTTAGAACATGCGCTGCTTACATGATATTGTTGGATGAAAACCATTCTCATCGGCAGTGTATTTGACAATCACACGCAAGCCCTCGGCAGTCACATATGAGTAAGAGCCCTCAACCACCTCCTTCTGCTCTTCGGTGCCCAACTTTACTGGTACACCGCGCTCCTCGGCTTGTATGCCATTCTCCGTTTCGTAAGAGTATTTATATGTGCCATCATAATTCAACTCATTCTCCTGCTGGAGTATGCGTGCCTCTGGAGCGGCTACGCCAGGATTGTATTTCTTAAATAAATTGTCGTAGTATTGGCGATTGTAGTAGTCGCGATTTTTAAACGGACGATTTTTGTAGTAAAGATCGTTATAATAGGGATTGAAGCGACCGCGGGCATCAAAACGCGCAGGGTTGATGATCGCGCTCGGTGTCACTGCGCTCTGCTGGGCCGCCGCCAAAGCGAAGAAGAACAAAGCAATGAAGCTTACGAGCTGAAACTATGTCGAAATAAAATATTTGGTTAAGAAAATCTTACATAGTTATATAATATATTGGTATACTTTAACTAGACTGCTCATTTTTCAGTAATTCGTGAGGACCCTTCACTCGTTAAGGATGCAAGCGCTAATGATGCTTTGACGCAACTGTAGAATTTGAACATAAAGATTCCCATTTTATACTCGAAATTGTGTAAGTCATAAAATTCCCTGGGAAAAAAAATATTTTCTAATTTACGTCACCCATATTCAGCATAAATCGTAAATTGGCTTAACATGGCAATATATAGTGCATTAGACACATTTAAACGAAACGCTTGTGTCATCCGCACCAAGCGAGAATCTACGCACGTTTCCAGCGACGAGCGCACCATCATTCGATTTGGCAGCTTCGTTCATTTTTTAAGGCAATTTCCGTTAATATTCACTTTTAATGAATCTTTGTAAATTTTGCAGCGCCATGTCAATAAACATTCCGCCACACGCACACATGTACACGCATATGGGAACGAGGCTTAAACTGTTTCGAAAATAAATTTGCTAAAACTTGCCATAAAAATGCGTCAACGTTTCAGAACATCGCATATGCAAATACCGCTTGGCGGATATGAGTTGGCCGCATGGCAAAAACATTTGAAAGCACCATGTTGCGCGACTCAAAAATAATAATGTTTCAGTGTGACTTTTGCGCTTTTTTACCTCCATCCAATTAATTGGCGGTGGCAATGCTGACGAGCTGCCACGCCACAAAATCCGTTCATTTATTATTATCTTACCTGTTGAGCAATTAAAAAGAAAAATATGTAAGGTGTGAACAAGTTCGAACGCAGCCGAAAATTATATTCTAAGAAAGCCTTAACAATATAATTTCTAAACTAAATCTTTCCAGTATATACGATGGACACTCGATAACTCAATATTCGGTGTATGGGGATATGTAAAGTTAAATATGTAGTCTTTGCTCATTTTTAAGTAGATCCATAAGCAAGTTTGAAACTACAGATGTGCCTCAAAACAGTAAACTACATGTCAGATTTTACTTCTGTAGTTGAAAAGGGTGATCCATTTCGAGGTTCCCTACTTATTTAAAGTAAAAACAAAGAAACTTCACATTTAATGAGGAATGTTTATTATTCTTCTTTGGTATTTATTTTTTGAAAACTATTTCTTTCAAATGTTGTCCGCGGCTACGTCTCAGTTGGTGCATCCATTGAGTTTGAGCATTTCGGCTGGTAACTGGCGAATGACACGCGTGATGTTTTGCCCCAAGGCCTGAATCAAATAAACCCATTGATTGAAGTGATGTGTGGAAAATGGTACCATCTTGTTGAAACAATTTTCGCCAAGATCACGAGCTTCAATCTCAGGTATCAAATAGTCGGTCATATAGGCGCGATAACGGTTGCCATTGACGGTTAATTTTTCACTGACATAGTCTTTGAATAAATATGGACCGATGATTTCACTGGCCCACAAGCAACACCACACTTTTTGAACACCACACCATTGAACCAAAAATGGGCATCATCACTAAACCAGACTTTACTCGAAAACGTCAAATCTTCTTGGAACTATTCAAGAGCCCATAGAGCGAAGCGATGTCGCTTGAAAAGGTCGAGCCGCTTTAATTCTTGCACAAATCGACTCTTTACGGTCTTCGTGCACACTCTTAGCTACGACTGCTATATTTTTTTCACTACGTGCTGGGCGTAATCTATTCAGTCGAATATTATCCAATAATGAATGCTGGATCTCAAGATGGGAGATGGTGATGATAGTAGTAAGTTAAGCGAAGCGCCGGAAACACATTCATACCCACACATTTTCCATATCCTATAACATCTTGCTATAAGTAAAAAATAATAATAATTAAGTGATCAATACTATTATACTCAGTACAGCATGATGCGAGGGTATAATAAGCAAAAACATAATCTAGAAATATTAGCAATATCGGTAGATTATGACGGCCATATCCATACATACTAAAGATGTGCATGTATATTGGGACCCACGGGACTAATTTCAAAATGATCGAAATCGCAAATTTCAGAAAAAGCTTTATAAATATCGGTAAGAGCTTTACAAAAACCCTTTTTCTAATTCTGAACGAATATAGCACCGGAAAATGTCGAATGACTGAGCAATGCTTTATTATCCAAAATTATTAATTAAACTTATAAAAGCGTCATAGTAAAAATGATAAGTATCGAAGACTCCTTTAATCAATTGAAAAAACAAACAGGGGCATAATACACAGTGATAGTTTTGCCTTTCTCCAGTTGATCGGTGAAGATTAACTTGTGAATCCCAAAATATTCCGTGCAATAAGGCAGTCTTCGGCTACTCCGGCGGAGGTTCGCTGAGAGAAGTCCACAAAGTCGACGCTTCCTTTGTTTATTCCAGTTCATGAAATGCAAAAACGCCATCTGATCTCTTTTGGGCTCTAAGATGCCGGTCCTTTGTGGTACTGGATTATAAGACCATTACAAATCGACAAATCGCCTTGAGCCTATGACGAATTTGTTGAGCCGTGTAATCTTCTGTTTTTCGAAGTAAGACTACTAAGAAGTTTCAACTTCAGTCGTGTAAAGGCTGGGTTTTGTTCAGGGTTGGGACTTCAGTAGATCTTTAGCGTTCTAATCTGGTAAAGAAGCAGCACAAAAATTGGTTATCGACCACGATATGCAAAACGCACAAGGGTTCCATGTGTCTAGTACTAGAATGAAAGACGCCAATATCGATCCAACTCGGTCCTATTCCGATTTGAGCGGGGCAAGGGTATCCCCTCTGTCTACCTAATCGGCTTTGCAATTGCTAGCGATTCCGCAATGACCAGGCACCCAAACGAGTCTTATGACGAAGTAGCTTGATACTATTTTAAAAGAGAACGAAATGTTTGTTCTAATAAATGTTTTGAACGCACAGTAGCTCAGCGCTACTACTGGTCTGTCGGAGTGAATGATGGTAATTCGTAGCAGTACGTCTATCGCCACCTTTATAGGAGCCACGTCTGCCTGAAAACACTCCAGTGATGAGATACCTAAAGATAACCTTCCCTACTAGCTTTGACTCATCCATGAAAAAGCTCACTACGCCTTTTCTCCAGCGACATCTCCCCAACCACGAATTCCTCGTCGGTAAGTTAGCAGAAAGAAAGCAGCCACGATTGGCGTCTGCCACGCAGTTATTCACGGTTGCTATGTTTAAAATGACAGTAATTGCTGTTGTTAGTGTGATGCGTAATGCACCGGAAATACCGATAAGAGCCGCTCTTTGGACACGCTCAAGCTCTTTATTAAGGGGGTATTATACACTAGAATTTTGAAAAATTCGATTTTTTATTTTCATATATTTAAAGCTTATACCCTTAAGAACATATCCTCCAAAGAATTTTTAAAAATTAAAATTATTTTAAGAGCTACAGTTACTTTAGTGACGCAGTACCTAGCCCGGTAGGAAACCACTTTTTTCCACACCTTACCAGCATTATCTAAAGTTCTATACAACCGATTTACTTCAAATTGTGTGTGAATCTTCTTTATATAATCCTTTATCTTTATATACTCATTTATCCTTTGTTTTTAATATTAAAAAAAAAATTCAGGAATTTCAAAAAARAAGCGTAAAAAATGATTTTTATTTTCAGGCATTCGCCATTTTTTTTTCAGACCACCAGGAGAGTCCGAATCAATGTCACCAGTATGCGAGAATTTTTTTTACACCTGTCTTCCCCCCACCTCTAATTATTTTATCTTTTAATATTTTTTTGTAAAATTTTTTTCTGTATTCTTAAGATATCAATAGAACCACCATAAAAAATTGATTGTGCTATCTATCAATATTTTTGGTTTTTTTTTTTTTTTAATAAAATTCAAAAACCTGCCCATAATTTGATTTCTAGAGTAGATTACCCCCTTAAGTGTAGCTTTTTCTAGAGCCTTCCAGCCGACGAATTAACCTTATAAAATTATTGGATTGAATATGATTTCGTAGGCACCTTTAGTGAAAGTTTAGCTGTTAGATACTCAAATTTGTTAAGCAAAACTTAATATCAAAATTCCTATTTTATTTTTTCTGTATCAATTATCAGAAATAATCAGCCAGTTTAGAGTAAAGTCGAGACAAATAATTTAGTTTCGTTTGCATCTCTAATGTATTCACACATGTATGTATATGTTTGCAATTATAAATATTTTATCATTAGTGGGCTTGAATTCCCCAAATTGACCGATGACTTAATGGCATCGTTTCATATAAATACGGCAGACACCCTCATTTTGATGCTTCAGTGGCTTTTTGCTATGGGTTAATACGCTTTTGCATCACACATATTTGCATATGTCAATACATGCAACCACAGCAACTTGGGTAAAAAGAAATACCACCAAGTGTCTAAAGCACGCATTGACTTAGTGACCAATGGTCAAGTACCTCATAAATCACAGATGTTGTTGCACCGGTTGCGGCAATAATTCGACAGCATATATTCCGTACAGTGGAGCTAAGTTGATGAAATATTTTACAATATCATGGACGTTTGTCCAGTTCGTGCCGTCATTTGGAGATCCCAAGTGTATCCAAGTCCATCTCCGCCTTTTCAAGGAGTGGATGCTGCATTGAATACTCTCAGAGCTGGAGAGTTTCCATCCATTCGGATGAAATAACTTAACCAGCGTTCATCGTTCCATCGCCGTGGCTAACGCGTAAAGAACCATAAATCCGCAGAACCTTACTCTCGAAAACTCGCAACACTGTGTCATCAGATGTTATCATACAAATCACTTCTAGGCCGGATAGTCGAACAATGCTGGTCGAATAGGTTTCCTGGTAAACGAGGACGATACCCAAAACCTCCTGATGTCAATGATGATAATGACTATTTTATATTAAAATATGTAATATATTATATCTGTAATGTCAGCCTTATCATGTGTACCCACATGTACACATGTCTATTGTTTTTGTCGCAGTAGAAGAAATTTTTATTTGAACAACTTTTGGGTTCTTCGAAGGAAAGAGTAATGAACTTTCATCTATTTTTCCATTGCTGTAAAGATATATTGTCCGGAGTTAGGCATAAGTCAGCATTTTATACGGCAGAGCACTGCAATATATTTCAAGCAGAGGTATTTGGTATTCT